ATTATTTATTTATTTATTATATATATATATATATATATAATAATATATATATATACTATATATATATATATATATATATATATATATATATATATATATATATATAATAAAATTCTAACTTGAGAAACTGATAAAACATAATTTTACTATTTATTTGATTGATCAAAAAACTAAAACCTGAGAAAATGTAAGCTCACACACTCACGACTCCATTAATGAACTTGAGCTAATAGAGAAAAGGGCAAAGGAAATTGTATTGATCATAATACTTTCTCCGTTTGTATTGTTTGTTATGTTATGTTATGATTTTTAAAATTTAATTTAATTAATTTTTAAAGTTAAATTAGATTGCATTAATTTGATATTTTAAACAAAAATTAGATATTTTAAAAACTATATGAAAAGTACTATAAATTGCCTTTTTTTTGCATATTAATATGATGAAAAATTATATTTTAAAATGTAAGTCAAAGTTTTCATAGTTTGACTCTAAAAATAAATACTAGACAAACAATATCGGACGAAGAGAGTAGTTAGTACTTTCAACGCTAAATGAGAATGTGGTGCTACTTACGGTGTAGAAAATAGATAAGGAAAATACTATCTTTAGAGAATACTCAAGTTTTATATAGGCCACTTAAGACCACTTGAGATTATTACAATCATCAACTATATCACTATTTATACGACTCAAAATAAAAAAAATAAAAAGTATTGCACAATTAACTATATACATGTATCAAAAATTACTAAATGCATGTATTACAAAATTCTAAAGAATTTCTTGAGAAATTAAGAGACAATATTGAAATACTAAACATCAAGGTGTGAAGTGAATGCATTAATTCCAACACTCCCCCTTAATATATTTTTTCTTGAAAATTTCAATGCCTTCTCGAAGATGGCAAAACTTTTCGCTTGGAAGTGTTGTGGTGAAGATGTCAGTAAGTTGTTCTCCTGTCTGACAATAATTGCAATTGCAATTGAATTTCGTTTTTATCTTGAGTTTTTTAATATCTCCTTTTTTTTATTGAGTTTGGTTTTGCAAATACACTCTAGATTTACAACTTCTTTTTCTTTGGGTATACTCACACATTTCCAAGTATTAATTTTCTAAATTTTTCAATTTTTTTCTGTCAAGGCTTTTCTCCAAGCATCATGTTTTATTGCCTCCTCATAATTTTTTTTTCTTAAAACTAATAAAGTTGCATCTTTGATAAATATCACTCAACATTTTTAGTCTTTTTGGAAGTGGTTCTTCATCGTCTGAATATGAGATTTTTCCTCTTGAGGGACATCTTCATCTTTATCATCCTCTTCTTGATCTGAAGATATGATATCTGTATTCTCTGTCTTTTTATCCTTCCAATTCCATGTTGTTTTTCATAAAAAATGACATCTCTACTAACAATAAGTTTGTTACTCTTCACATCGAAAAGCCTATATTCTTTTGTCACATCACTATAACCAATAAATATATATTTTTTAATTTCTTTCACCAATTTTGTTCTTTTCTCTGCAGGTACATGAGTATAACAAATACATCCAAATAATTTAAAATGATTTACATAAGGTTTTATTCCAACCCAAGCTTCAATTGGTGCCTTGTCCTTTAGTGCCTTTGTTGGGCATATGTTAAAAATGTACGCTGATGTATGCACTGCTTCTGCCCAAAAATATTTTGACAACCCTTTCTCATTTATCGTAGTTCGGGCCATTTTAACAGTTGTTCTGAATGCCTTCATTTTTGCAATATTCTTCAAATTCTCGACTTGTGTATTCACCTCCTCTATCACTGCAAATGGTTTTGTGTTGCAACATTTTTGCTTCTCAACAAGTGTTTTAAATTTCTTGAATGTAGCAAATGCTTCTGACTTTTCTTTTAAGAAATAAACCCAAGTCATTCTTGAAAAATTATCAATAAAGATTAGAAAATACCTTGACTTTCAAGAGATGGAATCTTCTTTGGTTCGCAAATGTCGGTATGGATTAGTTTCAAAAGTACATTTGCTCTCTAAGACACCCTTTTGAAAAAGTCTTCTCATGTTGCTTTCCTATTATATAACTTTCACGTTGATCCACCTTAGTATGTATCACAGGAAGGCATTGCACAATATAGCTTTTTGCTTAAGAAATTTCAAACCAAAAAAATTCAAGTGACAAATTTTTTGTGTCAAAGCCATGAATCATCTACAATTTCATTTTTTTAATGCATTGTAATGAAATTGCAAAGGAAAATTTCTTTTTATCATCTTTACTTCAACAATGACTTGATTTGGCTTAATTTTATCATAAATCCTGCAATAATTATCTCTAAGCATAAGAGAATAACCATTTTCCATGAGTTAACCAACATTAAGCAATTTTTCTTGCATGTCAGGAATATAAAGAACATCATGAATTTGCTTAGTGTTTTTTTCATGTTGATCGAAATGATACATTTACCTTTTGCATCAACTAAGCTTCCATTTTCCATTGCCACTTAAGTAGTGATGTTATTATTAATTGAGAGGAAAGTTTTTTCATCTCCAGTCATGTGAATACTACAATCACTATCAATATGGCATTCATAGCTTTTTGTTGAAACATGAGATTTAGAAGCAAAGAAAAGGTTTTCTTCCCTTTCTTCCTCCTGTTTTTCACAAAAATTCGCTTGCTCCCGTCAAGGGCGGAGCCACCTTGGTACAAAGGGGTTCATCCGGACCCCTTCGATGAAAAATTATACTATTTATACATGATTAAAATAATACTTTATGAATGTATAGTAGATGTCGAACCCCCTTCAACTACTCCGTATATCTATTTCTACGAATTTTGAACCCCCTTATTGAAAATTCTGGCTCCGCCACTGACTCCCGTTTCTTGTGGTAGCAATCCTTTTCAATGTGGGCAAATTTTTACAAAAGTTATATTTGGACTTGCATTTGCGTCAACATTTTTCTGCCAGTATGATTAGTTATTTTGCAAACTTTATAAAAAAAAAACAAGAGTTTTTCTCACCTTTCTTCAACCTTTTTGGAAGAACCATCATGATCCTACTTTTTTTTTTGCTTGTATTTTTTCTTCAGTTGATCTTTTGAGAAATTTTGAGAATTATCACTTGTTCTGGACTGGAAAGCCGTCTTTTTGATTTGAATTCACGAAAAAATCTTTCCTTCTCATGTGCACGAAATAATCCAACTAGCTCTTTGATAGAAATCTTAGAAAGATCTTTCGTCTCCTCAGTGATAGCAACAATATACTTATACTTTTTTGTGACTGTAATTAGAATCTTTTCCACAACTTGTTGATTAGAAATTATATCAGCATAATTTCTCAATTCATTAACAATATTAATAATTCTTGTACAATATTTATCTATTTTTTCAAATTCTATCATCTTCAAATTTTGAAACTCTCTTCTAAGAGTTTGAAGGTTTATAGTGTGTACCTTTTCGTCACCATACACCTCAGTTTTCAGAGAATCCCAAACTTCCTTTGCAATTTAACAAATAGCAATTTTTGCGAAATATGCTCTTTAGACTCCTATTTGGATTTTGCTCAAGACTTTTGCATCTTGACGATACTTAGCATCAAGATTTTTCATCTCTGATGTTGTAAGTTCACCATTGTTGTCTGGCTCTTCAAAGCCATTTGCAACAATAGTCCACAAACTTTCAGCTTTCAAATATGTTCTCATTCTTATTTTCCAGAACTCAAAATCAGCTCCATAAAAAAAAGGAGTAAGAACAATTAAAGAATTAACACCTTCTTTTGTTTTGAATGCCATTTTTTTTTAACCTAACCCGAGATTAAGAATAAAATCTGCTCCGTTACTAATTTTGTAGGAAATAGAGAAGGAAAATACTATCTTTAGAGAAGAACAATATTGAAATACTAAACATTAAAGTGTGAAGTGAATGTATTAATTTCAACACATGACTTCAGTCCACAAAATATTTTCTAATTATATTATAACGAACTATGACGGCTAATCACAAAGTAACTAATTATTGGAATGAACTCTAATTAACTAAAGGACCAAGTTAATCGTGTATGATACCCAACTTATAAACCTGATTCATCATGTGATGCATTTGAACAAAACCAAAAACAAAACACATATTAAAAGGGAGAATATGTTCTTAATTTCAAAAGTAAGGTAATTTGATCATTTATTCTTCTTGTTCAACATAAAAAATGAATTTTAGCGGTAATTAATATTTTTTATATATATCTTTAAAAACTTTAACGACATTGCATCTAATGACATTTAACTAGTGTTGATTAATACTTTAATATTTTTTATTAATATATTTATTATCAATAAAAATTATTTTTGTGATAATAATAATAAACGCGCATAAAAATCAATAAACAAATAAAAAGAAAAAGACATGACTCGTGACGACAATTTAAATAATTAATTTTAACAAAAAGAAATCATAAAGCGGTTAGGTGGCATATATTCCCAAGTGGAAAACTAGTTGGGGGAATAAATGTAGTTCCCAATAAGATAACAAAAGATTAATAGGTAGGTGTGAAAAGAAGTGCCATCCTCCAATTAAAGAATGAACCATTGTTAATTGTTATATATACTTATATTTTGGTTAATTTTTAATTGTCATGTTATTTTTTTTAAAAAGTTAATTTTATTAATTTTAAATTTAAATTAAATAATATTAATTTGATATTATAGAAAATTAATATTTAAAACTATGCGAGAGGTACTATAAATTTCATTTTTGTACATTGATGTGATAAAAAAATACATAGTAAAATATTAATTAAAGTTATTACTCCCTCTATTCACAATTGTTTGTCAGTGTAAGGTCATAGCAAACTCTATTATGACAAGAATATCAAAAGTCTACATAACTTTTCAATTGAACAAAATTGAGTACTTATTAAGGTTAGAACTGGAAAAAAAGGTGATCAATTATTTCTTGATTGTTTAAATTGACAATTAATCTTGAACATTTATTTTGATATATATGTGAAACAATTATAGACGGAGAGAGTAATAGCTTGACTCTAACAAAGAAAACTATGATGATTAATAGTAGCAGAGATAATATATCATAATACTCCTTCTATTTAAAAAAAATGACCATATTTCTTTCTTTTTTTAAAAAACAAATAAATCTTTTTATTTTGGCAATATGTTAACTTTAACTTTTCACACATGACATATTTAATGCTACAAAATTAAATAATATTTTTGTACGTTAACATAACTATAATTTGAGACCACACTAGCTACCATAAATCATCATGATTGGTGGTTAGCATTTGTTGCTTTAAAATAACATAAAAATAAAAATCTATAAAAATGTCCAATTATTTGGGAAACAGATGTTTGACTTTTTACCTATTTTTTCCAAAGTTAACAATTTTTAGTGTTCCTTTAAAAAAGAATAATCTAGTTTGACTTGGAATGGAGTTATAAAAAAAATTTAATTTTATGATTCTAAATTAAAAATATGTCAAATGTATCAAAATGTTGTTTAATCTTGTGATTTTAAACATGTCACATGAAAAGTTAAAATTAAAGTATTGCAAAAAAAAAAACATTCTTTTTGAAATACACTAAAAAGAAATTATGAATATTTTTTTACATAAAGGAAGTATATTATTTCATAATAAATCTCAAGTGTCAAATGATGCATCAACATTACTTACAAATTACAATAATCCAAACTTGAAAAACAAAATTTCAAGTAATATATTCTAATAACTTTTAGAAAATTTAGCTAAGCCATCCATGTAAGTGCAGAACAGTTCAAGATTTAAGAACATATACATAATATAATCAAATCTTATAATAACACCGTTTATTTGATTTTGATTTTTTTTGCTATTGTAACGAAATTGATTTCAAAAGAAGTCACTATAATAAAATGTTTGTATTAATGTTTTTTTTTGAAACGTCATCAATTATTCGATGTCTTACTCAATATTTAAATTTTGTGTGAAAAAATAACAATCTCATACTAACAAAATAAAAATAAAAAATCTTATATTGAGTCTTTATGGACAATCCTATATTCTACCCCCTAGAGTTTGTCATACGTGATAATTTGGTCCCCATTTTTCATCAACTACGTAATGTATAATCAATTTTCAAGTATTTATGGACGGGGCAACTCAACATAATTAGGGACCTAAAGGAAAATTTCAATTTGCAGCCTAAAATATAAATAACTTTTATATACGTTTTTATTTAAAATTTATTTTTCTTACACTATTTAGATGAAAACTATCGGTGTATAATATTTTTTTCAGTTATTAATTTTCGGTAAGATTTTATCAACTCAACATTAGATAAAGTCATTTCAGTGAGACAATTATTCTATATATTGTTAACATAATGCTATAAGTAGGGGTGTCAAATGGGCGGGTTGAGTTAAAATTGGAAATATTAAAATGAGTTTAATAGAAATCGGGTTGGGTATTGACCCGACCAAGTATACTTTGGGCTCAAATGAGTTAAAAAATGGGTTGGGTCTTGACACGCCCAATTTGACCCGATTAATCTCAATAATTTAACATATTGATATTTAACTTTTATAATCAAACTTTGAATTTTCCCCTCAAGAATTTTTTGTTAAAAAAGTAACAAATGGATAGATAAATCCTAAAAGATGTTAAATAGATAATAATTCATACCTTCAATATAGGGATAATGCCCAAGTACCCCCTCAACCTATATCCGAAATCTCGGAGACACACTTATACTATACTAAGGTCCTATTACCCCCCTGAACTTATTTTATTAATAATTTTTTACCCCTTTTCGACCTACGTGGCACTATCTTGTGGGTCCAATGATGGTTGACTTTTTTTTTCAGTCTAGTGTCACGTAGGCTAAAAAGGGGTAGAAAATTACTTGTAAAATAAGTTCAGGGGGTATAGGACCTTAGTATAGTATAAGTGTGTCTCTGGGATATCGGTATAGGTTGAGGGGGTACTTGTGCATTATCCCTTCGATATATGAACATATCTTAATAAAAAAATTTACTACTGGTTGAAATTAGAGATTGAATTGGGCTCAATTAAAATTCTCTTCAAATGGGTTAAGCTTGAATGAATTGAGAATGAACCTAATTCAAATTATCTTGAGTCAACCCTTAAAATTCTGGGCGAATTACCTATGTTTAAGTTCACTTTTGACACCGCTAGCTATAAGTAATAAGTTGACAAATATTAAATAAAGATAAAAGTTAGAATCATAGAATTAGACTCAAGAAGTTGATGACTTGATATACCTCATTTTAATATGTTTATTGTAATGCTTCAAATTAAAATTTAAAAGGAAATAAAAAAGAATTTGTAATTCATTTGTTCAACACTTTTCACTATTAATTCTTATCTTTTAAAAAGTACAAAAGAAGTTAAAGAAGATAAAATAATATATTTTTAAAAAATTATATTTTTTATCATAAATAACCAATTTTTTCTATAATTTTTTTAACACATAATTTATTTTGACAAAAATTTGGGCCCCCCAAATTTGACAAAGGACTTATTTTCAATACCTTAGAGCCGGCCCTATCTATGGACAAAAATTTTTTTGCCTTTATTTACTCTTATAAAACCTAAATAAGTATTATTTTAGTTTCAATTTGTGAAGTTACATTAGAAATAACTCATATAGGTATGGAGTAAAAGTAGAATCAGAATTTAAAGTTAATGGATTTAAAATTTGTTAGCCTTTTTAATTAAGTCCGGAGGTTTTAAATTATTCTTTTTATTTCAATCTAGTCGTCTTCTTTTTCTTTTTTAAGATGTTTAAAAAAATAAGATTTTTTTTGTCAACTCTTTAATTTTAACTTAAGTTCCGCCATATTTAAATTACAAGACATATTGATACATTTTGATATAATTTTAATTTAAAATTACAAGATTTAAAATTTGTTAACATAAGACAAATAAATAAAACAAATGAAATAATAATTTATACATGTTTCTAATATAAATACATTATTGAGTTTAGGTGATCAAT